CGGTAGCAGCATCAGTTGGAAATTGTTCTGAAGACTCATATTTGGGTGTCAGAAGGAAATTGGCGGCTGAGCTTTCAACACATCTTCAAGATCATGAGCTGTTGATTTCACCTATGCCTACACGAACAATGAAGACTCGGAAAACTCAATCCTTTGGCGCTGAGGTAGTTCGAGATCTGCTGTTTCGACTGGATCATGAGGAAGTAAAATGCTTGTCTAAGTACTGGTTACGCATGCCCTATATGGGTTATGTCATAGCCAGTGCTTACAATTGGCCTGTGATACTATTGGAACCGCGGAAGGCATACTGTAGCTCTTTCTTCCCTTATCGCACCTTACCAACTGAGGTCAAACAAGAGCCCATTGTGCTTGCTTTTGTTGATCAAGAACACTTTGTAAGCTTTGGATGTAGGGACCTGGTGCCTCTTCCGTTTCCAGGATTCTTTGGCAAGGAACGTAACGCAGCTCAGCTTGAATCCACCAACATACCTGCTTGGATCAAACATTATCAACCGCAGTTAGATAGGTGGATTGTGGAGAGTTGATTCCTAAAAGATGTAATAGGATTCGTTTCGAGTTAATACTCTTTTCTTTTATGCTCGTTACTTTACGAAAACTTTAGGAAGTCATGCAGTTTTTTTCTTGTACTTCAAGCTTGTTTGTTTTCTATTTGATTTAAGTTACATTTTGGTCTTGGTCTCTCTCTTTTCTATCTGTTTTGTTTTGTTTTGAAATCAATAAGGAGTCCATCAAAGAAAATGCTCTTGAATCGTGACTTTTGTATCTTTCCTCAGAATTGTAAGGGCCAGGATCCAGTAAATCATAAATTGACATTAAAATTGAAAGACTTTTGAGTCGCCCGGTTTCAAATTAAACCGGGCGATGTTTCAATAGAAGCGGGCGACGAATTTCATGTTCTCCGAAATGCGGGCGTCGGGTTTTTTAAACCGGTTGCCAAATAGTGAGATCCCTGTCAATTAACTCAAAGTTTTGGCTTTACTAAGTTTTTTCTTTTCACAAGGTTGAGGAATATGAAAGGAAGAAGACCCTCCCATGAAAGATCATGTGTCCTTGTGACCAATCATCTGTAGATCTTTTGCAACATGTGTGCCAAATCCTCTATGATCATTGTTTGGCTTTTATGGCTAGCAGTGAGAACATCCCCTCTTCATTGGTTAGTAAGATTTGACATAGCCAGGCCATGGCTGATGCACAGATCAGGTGTGTTTGAGTTACTTTAGACAAAATTGGCAAAACTAGCTACAGGTGTTATATATACTGCGCTGATGAACTTCTAAGAACTTTTGGGTCAACCATTTTTGGAACAGATGTACAAGTGCATCCAGAAAAGATACAACACATTTACTCTGCCAGCCCCAACTAATGTTTCTTATCTTTTCTGGAAGCACTTGTACATGCCAAAATTGATCAAGTTGAAAGAAACATAAACTGAAGTCAAATAAGTTTCACTCTTTATTGATGTCCTATTAATGTAGTGGGACATGGCACAGAGGGTTTCACAGGCACAATTTGCAATATGCAATGCTAGAAGGATATGCTAATAGCAATCCTACACTTGTATCACCAACCACTAAGGCAATGACCTGGCCCTGACACAATTTGGCTGGCTCCAGAGCATCATCTGGCCTTGGAGACTCCAGGTTGCATTCTCAAGAAGACCAGGGCCAGGTACGGGGATGTATTGAATGTGTAGGACTGAAAAGCTCAGGGGTAGTGTCCCAGGATCCTGGGCCTGTGATGGGGCTCCTGGGGCTTCTGAGACCAAGCTCAACTGACCTGGTGGCAGTGCACATACTGATTGGTTCCAAGAAATCATTGGGCAAGCTTGGCTGGGCAAGGCCAGGGTCAGGTCATGTATTAGCTTGAACAAGCCCTCTCTGCGCGGCCACGTCTGCGCGCCTCGCAGAGGGGCTTGGGACTAATTGTGAGTTCCTGGCACAGAGACTCCACGAGTTAAGTCCACTTACGTAGTTTTTTGCTTTTTCCCGCTTTCCTCAGTGATAAAATCAACTTTACCTTGCAGGAAAAGTTGTTTGTATTTTTGTTCTACATGTGTTTCCATCTTGATATCCTGGTTATCACTACTTCATCACCCTGATCATGAGTTGAGTTTTCAAGCTCTTATGTCCCATATGTAAATGAATGTACAGCCTGTATTTGCATAGTACGTGATTTAAACATAAGGATGTGCAAAACATTTGGTGAGTTTGGCACAGGCAGAAACTAGCGTACAAAAAGCACTGAAAGCAGACCACAATACAGGTGGGTGTTGTAAGAATGTTAAAGCCACATTTCTGGCCGCATCAGATAGTTTGTCTACAATCTGAGGCTATGAGGATGTGTAGAACAAAAATATGAACAACTCTTCCTGCAAGGTAAAGTTGTTTTTATCAGTGAGGAAAGCGGGAAAAAGCGAAAAACTACATAAGTAGACTTAACTCGTGGAGTCTCCGTGCCAGGAACTCACGATTAGTCCCAAGCCCCTCTGCGAGGCGCGCGGACGTGGCCGCGCAGAGAGGGCTTGTTCAAGCTAAGGTCATGTACCAATCACAAGCTCTTTGAATCTTAGGTTTATCAAGGGCTCTAACTTTGAATTTTCAAGGAACTTGAGATATGTAGCCTGCAATGCAAACTTATAGGCACTGTCAAAACAAGTGACTACATGTGTGTTTCCCACAAAATGGTGCCTATATTGTCATTTCACACACTGTGATCTGCCAGATGATGTCTACATGCTTATATACACATGTAAATTTCAGAAAATAATGCCTGAATGATGCAGGCGCCCTCAAAAATGGTGCCTGCATCTTGGAATAAACATGTAGGTGCTAGATTTCTGGCACCTACATATGTATTGAAGCATGGGAAGATGACTGCAATTAGGATATTGGTGGATGAAAAAACCATTTTGAGTTGTGATTGGGACATTGATGAATGGAAAACCCTTTTCAACTTATAATTAGGATTTCAGTGGATGAAGAAATCATCTCAAGTTGCAATTAGGATTCTAGTGGACAGAATTTTTTTTGAGTTTTGTACCAGTGCCACTTATCATCAGTGTATGAATTTCTTTCCTTTTTCTCAAAGAAATCCTTAACAACAATGGTGCTCAAAGTAGAATTGGTTTCAAAAAACCCGGTCAACACAGTTAACTTTTTGGGTGTGAGCTGTTAATACACAAAGTTGCTGCCAAAAAAAACTGGGTCAAGTAGGTCTTCTTGAAACCAGGCCTACTTTGAGCACCACTAACCTCTTCTCTAATAGCTCTGGGTTTTGTGAATAGTGGTCATTGACATTGAGTTTCTCTTAGTTATTCTTCTGATTTCACTTCTCCTTTTTCAAATCCCTCTCAGTGTCAAGATCAATATCAAACTCGGTTATGTTTGGAAAAGATGATTCTCTATGAAGGGTTTGATTTAAGCTTTGGGAAAAGAAGATCAAGGAATCAAAGAAATTTAAGGGATAGAGTGACCACCGAGAAATTTCAAAGAAGAACAATTGAAGTTATGAATGATTGATATTTTTTTGTTTGTTTGTAAAACTGTTGGAGTGATTTGAATTTGTTTTTATTGATTTGTCATTCTTCTTGGATTTGTGAAAAGGTCTTGAATTCATTGTGGGGTTTCCTTTATTTTCTGAGATGGTCTTGAGTATATACTTTCTTGATCTGTAGTGAAAAATTGAATTAGTCAGGATTTTCTGGAAGTTGATAACATTCTCAAGACAATGTTGATGTCCCCAAATGTCTCAAGTGTAACTTGATATGTCAGCTAATTGCAACTCAAAATGGGTTTTCCATCCACCAATTTCCTGATTGCAACTCACAATGGTTTGTACATCCACCAATTTTCTAATTGCAAACCACAATGGATTTTCTGTTCAACAAAATCTTAATCACAATTCAAAATGGATTTTCTGTTCACCAAAATCTTAATCGCAACTCAAAATAGGTTTTTTGTCCACCAATACCTTCATTGCAACTTGAAAAATTCTCTTGTGGCAGGTGGAAAGGTGTTAGGCATTTTGTTCTGACCAAACATATTCCTAACACCTAAATATGCAAAATCGGATGTAGAATTTTCTCAAACACACCAATTTGTTGAGAATTTAGGCACAATAAAAAAGCCCCCACATCTTTTTTGGGCATCATCTGGCCAACCGCCTGGTGTTTTTCTTCTTTTATTTTTTTACTTTTTAAACACTATCAGTGTGTTTCTATTTCAATTGGTCTTTGTCCTCCCCAAGGGTTGCCTCCCATGCAATATCTGATCATATTGTTTTTGTGTAGCTACACAGAGAGAGTAGCATAGCACCTAACATGGTCAGGGCCAACAGGTAGAGTTGTGAGACATATTCCCTTGATTGAAATAGGATTGGGAAATTGAAAGTTGAGTGAGATTTAGAATATTATCTCTTTAAGGGTTTAAATGAGTTACCCCTAACCCTATAGGTATAATTTTTCAAAAACATTGGTGGAAGTTGCCAAAAGAAGCATGAGCCAGAGAAGAGAAAGAAGAATGAAAGAAGAATATCAAACATTAATCATCGGAACTGGTTTAACTGAATCAATACTATCAAGGTGATACTCAACTCAACACTGGACTATCAAACTATCTAACTCACTAACTAACTAACCCATCAAACAAACAAACAGCTCATTAGATTCCACATCCATTCTACAAATCGATCCAAACCCATTATACGGTTCAATCAATTGGTCAACACTATCAATACCACAAATCATCCAATGGTCAACCCAATCCGAACCATCAAACCAATTCATCAATCTCACATCTCATTATTCAGAACAAATCAAAGAAACTATCGATTCAAAACAAATTAAATATCATTTGAATTTGATACCTACTCTTTTGTTTACTAAATCAAAGTTAATAGATCATTTCATTCAAACTGGTTCATCAAATTCGATATCATTTCAACTTTTAAATCAGTTTTATTTTCTAGATTCTAAGAGGAAGGAATTGGTTTCTTTACCTTCTTCTAAACATGATTTATTTAATTCTGATTTATCTTTGATTAATAAAAGAAAATTAGTTAAACTTTTTCAAATCGTTTTAAATGATTCAAATCAAACTCAAGATCAAGATGAAAATACACCACAACCAGAACCAAATGTACCACAAGACGAATCATTACACAGTTTTCTAGCATCTAAACCATACGAATTCCCGACCAGTCTAATCTCACAACTCTCAGCTTTATCATTATCACCCTTAAAGTCCACCGAATCATCAAAACAACACTCGATCCAAAGGATCCAAACCTTACTAAATTCGATTGGAAGGTACGGAAACTCTAATGGATCAGCTTCGAGTTTTTTAATTTCCCAGTATGGAGGAACAGGTGAATGGATCGAAAGCATGATCAGATCATCTGCTATTCAAAAAGGAGCGACTCAAATCATTGGTAGAAGGATTAATTCGTTACGTAAGACTCGCAAGGGTTGGAGTATTCAAGTTGAAGATTTAGAGAGAAATGAGGTTTTGGAGTTTGGGGCTGAAAGATTGGTGATTGGAGTAGATCATTTAGATCTTTTGAAAGATTATCAAATCGGTAAACCTAAACTTGCTTATATGATTCATAGATCTGTTGTGTTGGTTGAATCGATGGGGTTGAATTGGGATCTCGATGCAATGGAAATTAAACATACTTTGATTGTCATTGATTCTGAAACTCATGGAAATCCTATTCAAGTTTTAATCATTGGATCTTCTTCTGAATGTTGTCCAGATAATCAAGGTCAACCTTTTTTCGTTTTCTTGAAAAAAGATGTTGAAAGACTGATAATGTTTTCTTTTTTTTCGATTAGTGATTATTTATTTATCTACTGTTTCTAATGAGATTTCAAAAAATGAAAATCCAGAGGAAATGTTGGGTCCGGTTTTGGATTTAATACTTAGACCTACAGTAGAACCATTAATGAAACTTTTTTATACTCAACAAGTCTTTCATCATATCAAAACTGGTGATTTTCAAGATATAGATCATCAAAATGAAGATCATCAAGATAAAGATGAGCAAGACAAAGAACATCAAGACAAAGAATATCAAAATAAAGATGATCAAGACAAAGATGATGAAGAGAAAAAGATGGTGGTATTGAATAATTGGCCAGAAGAGATTGAAGATTCTGGATTAGGTAGATTATCAGAATGGGTTTATGAATACGTAGAAAAAGTCATGAAAGATGAATTTTCAAAAGATGTTCACACAGATAATGTAGAAGAATGAAATTAAGATATTTATTGTTTGGATTGGAATCTTATAACATATCATATTTTTCTTTACAATACTAGTATATATGCTATCTCTCTTCTATCTTTTTTTTATTATAGGTGATTCATCAGTTCTCTATACTATTAATATCATTTTCATTTTTTCATTTATTGTATAAAACAATGCAATCCTAATTTCAACAATTCAAACTTCTTTGTTTTTATGTAAGATATAATTTACCAAGGTTTTGTTTATATGATTCTTTTAAACAATCAAAGTCAAATCTACTTTTGGTTTTGGTTTTTTACATTCAGATTGGTTCAGTGTGTCATGCATCATCAAGAGTTATGACATAATTCTTTTTTAAATCTGATCAACAAATCCTTTCAGAATTAGATTCCAATTCATTCATTCATAAACAAACAGACAGACAATTGAATAAACCAGCAAACAAACAAAGAAGATGACAAATCTTTCAAGGCTCCTATACTTCTCATGATGATTACAAATGGTGATTTAAAGCTTTTCAAAACCTTTTTTTTTGAAAATCTATGATTTTGGAGTGTCTGAACAAAAGATATCTGATCAAGACTGAGACCATTCAGACTGAATCTATGAGCTTTTGGTATTGATCTTGAATATTGGAGGACAGCGTGATCTTCAGAAAAGACATGCTCAAAGGGAAGCTGGTAGTTGTATGCTATTTCCACTGCAGACAAAGCAGAGTAAGTCTTTATTTTGCCCTTCCAGTATGTAAGTATATATTTGTAATTGTGCTCAACTGGTTCAACAAGGTAAGGAATTGACAATGGAGGTGTTCTTGAGGACATACAAAGACATCTCTTCAGTGGCAAAACATTGCATTTTCCTTGACCAGAATTGATGTGGTTTCTTGGTCACAAAGTCCAAGTAGATTGCTGGGGAAAGTCTTCTCAATCATTGTAAACCAAAGATCACAATGAGGAAGCTGATTATGGTCTTTGAAGATGCAGTGGTCAAGCAGGGCTTCAAAAGTAGAACAAGAAATTGATGAGAAGTAAGTAAAAGGTTTAGCAATCAAATGAGCTGACATACCCTTGGTGCTAGATTGGAGGCCACAAGCTAGTAGTTCTCTACATTCTTTCCCACTCTTTGATGTAACATTTCACTAAAGTTTTTTCCTGCAGGCAGTGGGTGATCCTCAGCTTTCTTTAGTAGAGGGTGTGTTACTCTGGTTGTCATCTAATTCTGGACCACAGGTGTTTTGACCAGCAGCAGAATCACCAGTGAGATCAATTATGGCTATGATGTGTACTTGAGAAAAGGGTTGTGATATGGTGAAGTTGACTGAAGAGGTGTTCAAAGCAGTAACATTTCTGGGAAAAGATTGTGACTCTCTTTCTATCAATTCTTTTCTCAGAAGCCCCTTGAGACCCATCCAACCTGGGTTTGATTCTAGTATATCATTGTTCCTCAATACAAATTCCAAAAGCATCCATCTACTATTTTCTCTATTTCATTCAAAATGAATGAAGAAGGATTCGACCTAACTTTGAAGGAAATCTCCTTGACTAAACTCAACCAACTCACCAGGGACTTTTTGCAAGATTCAGCCAGATCTGGCAACAGACAGTATGGGACTTGACTACTTGCTACAGCCAGTGTGGAACTATGCAAATAGTTCTGGACCTTGCTTTAGAGTCCAGACAATCACCCCTTTTTGTTTTGTTTTGTTTTGTTTTGTTTTCTTCTTCTTCTCTTCTTCTTTTTTTGGTGGACTCCCTGCATCCCACGGATTTTCCCCGGGAAATGCAGGGGCGGGCTGTGGGATAGCTCAAGAGGGCTGGGGCAGGTGCTCAGGTGAAATTGCTATTGAAGAATTTTGGCTGTACTGAAAAAATCTTCAATTCACCAAAAAAATTCAAGAAACAGTCAAGCTGTAAATTTCCTTCAACTTCTTCAGCCCATAAACTCAAGTTACACTCAATTTACAGCCCTAGACCTTCTACAGCTGGGCAGAAGGTTTCTTTATTGGTCCATCTATATTTTTGCAGGAATTCTTCTGTGAAAAATGCTGTGATATGGGCTTTGTTAGCTAAGCTATGGGTAAAAAACAGATCTTTTATGATTTGAAAACTTATCAAAGACTGGTATTGGATTTTATGGCTTTGATCTTACTAACATGTTGTTTCAAATACTCAGTAAGATATAGGTCTACTGGTATCTCATTTGCTCCCATGATTAGTATTCTTCATCTAGGACATTCAATTTCCTGATCAAAGGAATTCCATGCCTCATTTCTGGGATAAATTTGATGGTAATTTTTTTTTGCTTGGAATTAAGGGCTTTGCTTGATGATTCATTCATGATAAATTATCATCATTACCTTTTTATGAGCTATATATTTGCCTATATTTGAATACATGGCTCACTTGCTTTCATTGTGCTGTAAAGTATGTTGTTGATGTATATGTTGAAAACAGTCATTATGAAATGATATTTTAAGTTTGTTTCGAAAGTTTTCAAGCCTTTGCTTGATCTGAAAATTTAATTTGATACATTCCGTATATCCGCACAATCATAATTTAATGAAAACTAGTAACAAGTAAATTATATAACACAAAGATAATAATTATACATAGTTATTTTGGGTGTGATAAAGAGACAAGTATAAGAAACAAGATAATGATAAAAGTTTACATGAATTTGTTTTGATTGTTTTGTTTTTCTTATAAATAATATGAAGTAACACCTTTGAGTTTTCAACGATGATGGTGTGCTCCACCTACATGTACATCTGCTTCATCACCAGATCCAGGTTTAGGAATTTCAATCTATTTGAAAAAAAAACAAAAACAAAATGATCAGTTGAAGTTGGAAGATAGATGAGATGGACTGAAAAAAACTTACGCCAGTCCAAGAATGAGTCAGTGGAAGATCAAGATTAATCCATTTTCGATCTTCGAATGAGGTTTTCCAACCAAGTTGTAAAGCAGCAAATTGACAGATATTTGAAGAAACGGTACAAATGGTAGCAAGAGGCTACAAGAAAAAAAGGAAAACGAAATCAATAAATGTCATATTCGAATCAATCAACATAGAAATCAATTCTAACATACTTTATCGGTTTCATCAGTTTGATGAATTTTAGAACTCCAACCACCAGCCAAGAAATTCATATCAATAATTTGACCACGAGTATAACCAATCCTTTCAGATTTAACATGTGCATGAAAATGACGTTGAGAGTATTCATGTGGATGAGCAATTAAAGATAATTGTTTTGGAAAAGATTGTGATAAATGAAACAAATTCCATGTTGGTACCATATCATTTAAAACATCCATTATTAATGGTGTATCTGATGCTACGAAACTAAAATTTGAAAAAATGAGTGAACGGAAAAAACGAGTAATTGATTGGAAGGTGGGACTTACACATTGGGTGAGAGGGGTAGTTTCTCATTGGTGCTTCGTAATTGAGTCCAAGTTGAATTGATAGCGTCCAAATAATTCGTAATCGGAATATAATCAAGTTTATGATCCTGGTTAAATGGATGTCTATCACCTCTGAGAAAAAAAGGAAAATAAAACATGATTAATAATCTTTCAAAGTATCAAATTAGTAAAAAGGAAAGAAGAACTCACTTTCGAATATGAACCGAAACAAATGGAGCTAATTTACCATTCTCACCACCTTTCCAAACATTAGAATCGATAATCTCTTGTTTAGTTTCTTCAATTAATTTTAAATTTTCATGATTTAAAGAAAAGATGGATTCGAATGAATCTTTTGCCATCTCAAAGATTGGTTTTCTTGGCTTAGGTATTAAACTTGGTAAACCATCAGTTTTCTTCTCATTTCTTACTTTATCATCTCCGTATGCTAATAAGAATTCTGAATCTGAGAAATGGTATGGGAAAATTGATGATGTGATGATCCAATGTCTTGATGAACGTGGACATCCCATCATTTCTTCTGGTGGTGGTGGTTGACAATCTGGTGCGGGACTGATTAAGGCAAACGAGTTCAGCTTACGATTAATAAACTGCAAAAAGGTGTAACTTACAGTTCCTGAAAGTGATCATTCCAAAGTCCTCGGTCCCATTCCCCATCAGCAATGAAAAACGTACGTCCATCTTTTTTGGCTAAAGCGAAAGCCAGTGTAATCGCATTAAGATGAAATGCCATCTTTTGATTGAAACCAATCCAATGATGTTAGAATGTAAAATCCATCAAACTTGCAGAAAAGAAAGTACTTACACCAAAGTCATCATCTAATAAATAAGTTAAAGTTTTTGAACAAATAGTCCGACCTTGATTATCAGTCTTCGAATAAGGTTGAAGATCTTCAAATTCTTTTTCTTCTTTAGTTAATGAAAAATATGGAATATGTATAGGAAGACTATTATTTAAAGTAATATGATTTTCCATGCCATCTTCAGTAAGAGAAAGATCAGTTGCTTGTAATTTACAATCTTCTAAATAATGAGAAGGAGAAAAAGGAAATTGTCGGGAGATGTTAGCATGAGGATGAATTGAATTGGAATTGGAATGAGTTTCAAGTTCATCAAATCCATTACTAGCTTTTCCTAATAAAACAAATAAACCCATCAAACCACATGCCGTCAAGATGGCAATCATAACGGTTTTATGTCCTAAAGCTTCACCTGGATCTGTCCATTTCTCTTTATCATATTGAAAAAACTTTAAAACTTTATTTTTCTTTTTATGATTCGGATTATAATGGTTTTCTAAATCTTGATTATAATCATGAGAATTAAATCCATCATAAACTTTATGATCTGTCGAAAACTTTCCATCATTTGAGTATGGTGTTCTTGCGCTGGTAGGTGATCTTTGAATTAAAGGTGATAAAGGTGTTGAATTGAATACATTGGGTGATAATAATGTTGTATCATATGGTTGATGGATTTGAATTGAAGGTGTTGAGGTTCGTTCGTCGTATTCTGGTAATAAGAATGAAGTTTGATCACGGATTTCATCGTTGGGTAAAGACATCTTTTCAGGCATGGCCGGCATGACAGTGAAGTTGGATTGTGATTTGGTGAAAAATAAGCTGGTCTCTCGATCGGCGAGTTGAATAAATGAACTAAACCTGTCAATTTGAAGGGAAGTGAACACGAAGATTGAAGAAAGATAATGGAGCTCACAAGATAAAGGCGACCCAAGTGATGAAGATTAGATATCCTTTGTGTTTGAATGAATTGTCTAGTCTAATCAGTCACCATTGTTCCTCTGAATGGTTTTGACTAGATAATTTGGTATCTTCCATTGATTAACCTGGTTTACCTCTCGCTCTTTGGACTGGTCATACTTATCTTTGTTTACCTCTGATGAATGACAACGAGCAAACAAGGAAATTTTTGTCAGTCAAACTCATTCAACCCCTTTATAATTCAAATAGATCGTCTTGCAGCACAACTAGGCTTGGTCAAAAACACCTCGAGCTGTGCTGGTCATCAAGCTTATTGAACATGGGATATCATTAAATCAACAAGTTTGTTTTTACAAACTTACGAAAGAAATACGAAACGTGAATTCGTTTCACTTGTGAGTTACTGCCGAAGAAGCAAGGAATTTAGTGTCCTCAGCGCCATTGAGATATAGTAAGATGTCCAATATCATGACCATCTCACTCACAGTGCAAGTGTCTCTGATACTTTTTGATCAGTGGGGAATTGTGTTAAAGGCAGTTCTGGTTGGAGCTTGTATGCCACTGAATGGCGAGAAGGCAAGGCACGAGTCCGATATTATCCGTAACTCCTCAGGCTACGTTTGCAACCTTTCGCAAGGTTTTTGGATTCGAGGTATGTAGACTGACTGCTGACCTCCAAAAAGAGGAAGTGGTCAAATGCCAAACCACTATATTGTTCTAGAATGTTGGTTTTCTGATTTCTCCTTTCATGGCAAGGAAGTCTACCTGACTTACTACTATACCCAAGGTCAATCTTGAAGGCCACTCAACTCTCGTATGACTTTCCGATGTCTTTTTCGCAATCGGGAAGGCCAACACAATGGCATTTTGAAAGACCCTACCACCGGACAAAACATATCAACATGTATGCGTAGTAAGTTCCATCCACAACCTTCTGTTCGATGGAAAAGTAAAGTAAAACCAAGCACATAGTCATCTTCGTGCCCGGAATCGTAAGATGATGAAGCTATGTCACCCATTTTTCAATTATTTCACACCTTCCTCATCACCATCACAATTTGCATATAAAGAAACCAACCCTGCACAAATCGCTCAGATTGTTAGGTTCTCAAAATTCCAAACCACCCTCCTGATCAAACATTTTCAAAACTACAACAATCAATCAAAACAAACCTACAAAAAACCAAAAAACCAAAACGAACACATCAATTCAAGTTACATGAGACCGAAACATTAGTGATCAACTTGTTCAAACTTACGCCCTGCCCTTCACCTCCTAATTCCTGTGTAAGTCCATTGTAAGGAAACTCACGAGGAACCTAAATCCGATTCACAAATCATCAGATACAAAAGACTTAGAAGAACATCTATTTCATAGTAAAAAAAAACATGAATATAGGAAAAAGCTTACCACAGGTGATTTGGGTGCTACGTAGGCTGCAGCCGTCATGATACCACCCAATGTACTAAATGCGATGGCCAGATTGAGTAAAGCATGACTAACAGAGATTCGATGAACATCAGGGGCCCAAATACCCATCATTTCTTCCTCAGCATGAAGCTAATGATTCAAGTAGTAAATTAGATTTCAATCAGAACCATCTCTTTTCATGAAAGCATTTGAAGTGGAAGTGAACTAACAGGTTCGTTCAAGTTACAACGTTCCTGTGGATCATCCCATTTTGCATAAGGATTTCTCCACTGTCTAGAAGCCGACTCGATTCTAGGATAACCCATTCCATCTAACTGAGGATCAGGTGAATCTAATACTTGATAGTCATAAGCAGTCCTTGAAGGAGGAACTGAGATCTCAGATGAAGTTGAGATGAGTTGAGGGGTGGGTGCAGAGCCGTATTGACGAGTTTGGTTGAGTAAAAGTTGAGTAGGACATCGAATTGATCGAAGAGGTAGGCGAGATAACATTGTTAAAATTGAAGATTGAAAGGTTCTTGATGGGTCTGAATAATTGACCTTTTTGTTTTGAGTTCAAGATGGTTACCTTTTATTGACCACCGTTGTAGTCGATGATCTTGATGACTGAATTCGGGATCGATCGGTTCAAACTGTGACAGTCGTAAATCCTCAATTCAAGATATCTTCATCGGTACTATTACATCGGTACCCATCGACTCTCGAGTCGCGAGTACCACATGTAACACGCGAGACATGTAATATCTGTTCAAGTCCATAAGCCAAGCCATCAATTGCACACACTTCAACTCTCATCAAATCTTTTTCAAGCCTCAACCATCCCAACCAAGACTTTTCAATCGATCAACAACACTTCAATCACAAACAAAAGACCATCATCATCACTAAAACTTGTATTACAAAGAACATATCAAAAACTTCACATCAAGTTCAATACCACCAACTTACCCGATGCGAACTAACTCTATGAAAGCCAATAGCACTGGCTCTAGGGCTGCTAGGATAGCAATTCATTCACATATTCAAGGTTTAGGACTTGATGAAGATGGGTTTGCAAAAGAAGATCTTCAGGGTTTTATTGGTCAAAGAGGAGCGCGTGAGGTGAGTGTTGGATCGAGTTTTTTTTACATGGAAATTCCAGTATATATATACACATCTTAAATTTCATCTGACTTTAAATTTCTTTTTTATTTGGGAGGGTTGAAATAGGCATGTGGACTTGTACTAGAACTAATTCGTAGTCGTAGATTCTCGGGTAGAGCTTTACTTTTAGCAGGTGGACCCGGTACAGGAAAGACAGCATTAGCATTAGCAATGGCACAAGAACTTGGACCTAAAGTTCCATTCTGTCCAATGGTCGGTAGTGAAGTTTATAGTAATGAAGTTAAAAAGACGGAAGTTTTAATGGAAAACTTTCGTCGAGCAATTGGTAAGGTGGATCATTGTTTGGAAATCAATATATATTTCAATTTTACTGAAGAGTTGAATTGATTATTATGAATCTTTAAAAATCTTTCATGTTCTGATTAAACTTTTCTTTTTTTTCAAATAATGATCAATTTATAATAGGCTTAAGGGTGAAGGAAACTAAAGAAGTTTATGAAGGAGAAGTTACTGAACTTACACCAGCTGAAACCGAGAATCCACTTTCGGGATACGGGAAAACGATCTCTCATGTGGTTGTCTCCTTAAAGACTGCAAAGGGTACCAAACAACTTCGACTGGATCCTAGTATCTTTGATAGTATTCAAAAAGAAAGGGTCACCATTGGAGACGTAATCTATATCGAAGCCAATACAGGTGCTGTCAAGGTTTGTGATCATATTTCCTCGAAGTTCAGATCAGTACTATATTACTTAAGGATTTGATTGGTTTGTTTAGCGTGTTGGAAGATCAGATGCGTATGCTACCGAATTTGATTTAGAAGCCGAAGAATACGTACCACTTCCAAAAGGTGAAGTACATAAGAAAAAAGAAGTCGTCCAAGATGTCACACTACATGATTTAGATATGGCTAATGCAAGACCACAAGGAGGTCAAGATATCATGAGTGTGATGGGACAAATCGTTAAAGGTCGTCGAACTGAAGTCACGGATAAATTAAGGGGTGAAATTAATAAAGTGGTGGATAAGTATATTGCTCAAGGGATTGCTGAATTGGTTCCTGGTGTATTGTTTATTGATGAGGTATGTGATTTGTTTTCCGAAATTGATAAACTGAATTACATTATATGTGTGTTAAACTTTATCTGGTTTTAGGTTCATATGCTTGATATCGAGTCATTTACATATCTTAATCGTGCTTTGGAATCAACAATCTCACCACACGTCATCTTAGCTACAAATCGAGGTCTTTGTACAATAAGAGGTACTGAAAGTGAACCTGGATCAGGTTATTTGGGTGGTGAAGGTATTGTTGCACCTCATGGTATACCGATCGATTTATTGGATCGATGTATGATTGTGAGAACAGTACCTTACAATCGAGAAGAAATCAAAACAGTTTTAGGTTTAAGAGCCAAAGTTGAAAATCTTAAAGTTAGCGAAGCTGCTTTGGAAAAACTGACAGATCGTGGTTTGGCTACTTCCTTAAGGTAACTTAAGTCTCTTCTTTAAAAAATTTTAAATTTAAGATTCTGATGTCTTTTTTGGCGCTGCCGGGGGGGTTATGTTAGATATGCATTACAACTTTTGACACCTAGTGCGATTCTTAGTTCTGTGGCTGGTGAAACTGATATTCGAATGGAAGATGTGGGTGAAACTGATGAATTATTCCAAGATGCTAAATCTTCTGGTATGTAACCTTTTCCTTACCTTTTGGTTTTGATATCAAGAAGATGTTATTGATGTTTTTTTCAATTTATATCTTTTAGCTCGAATGTTGGCTGGTCTTGAAGGTCAATATATGCGGTGACGCGTTTACGTTTGATATATATATATATACGCTAGATAGAGAGAAAAAGATGACCGCGTATAAGAAAATGTTTGTAAAAAGTAGAATGACTCATATTTAAGATACCTTATCTCAATCTGAATATCATGGGATCGGAAAGAAGACTATTTGTGCCTTTTCATGATCTTTCTAACACCATAGTGTAATTGAGACTATCTCCGTATTACCTTTTTCATAGATTGCCATGGAGGTACAGAGCAAAATGGTAAGTATGTGGTATCAATTCTGAGGCGCCCTAAGCCTCTTGAAATCCTCATATATCTATGAGAAAATGTAGATAGATATTGATCAGATAAAGTATGTGAAATGTGACACAACCATGGATAGTCAACTTTTACAGACTTGTCATGTAAATGTAGGTTAAATCAGCAGGGGTGCCAGATAGTAAACTGAGACCCAATGGACTATGATGTCATGGATCTTTAACGTCAAGGGTATGCACGTTGACCATCATACAAAACTTGTGACGGCGAGATATGAAAGGTAAGACATGCTTGAACAGGTTGACAAGTTTCAAAATACAGGTTGATAAGTATCAATTTGATTGGCTGTGCTCTTGCTTAGTTGTCAAGATGATCCTGAGTGCCGCCATATGTACAACACTTCTCAAGGCAAGAGTGTACTGAAATCTTGTTTATTGTAACTTGCGTGAAACTGGTTGATCAATTGTGTTTCATAACAGAAGGTTTCTCGTCAATTCTTGTGTATGTTATAATTTTATAGAATGTCCAAGCTACCTCGGCGGTATAGATGATCGAGAAGTGTTTCATTTCGAAAACTGCGAGCAAATTTTAAGAAGAAACAAGTTAGAGTGTTCTTTTGATACGACAGTGCAGTTTGTATCTAGAACTTGAATGGACCATACGCGTTATCACGAGCTGCGGTGTTGATAGCAAAAATATGTGATCGTCGTTACGCAGATCTTAAATGAGACTTCAGCTCACTTCAATTTCTGACCTCGACAAGTGTCATATCCAAGGTAATCGGATGGGTAAAATGTGTATTTATAGGAATTGAAGCCTGATATAGCCCAGCGCAGATCGTATACGTACCTACTTACAATCTCAAAACTTTGTTTGATTGGTGACGGCATTTGGTCGGTGAAGCATAGTCTCGGTCCGCAATGCTGGTCACAAATTTGACGAGGTTTGAGCCTGAGGTCAAATGATGAGTGGATCATACACTCTTTTGACGAATATAAAAGCAAGCTATCCATCTGCTCATCACAGTCACCCTGTTCTTATCCTCAATACTAGTAGTCATTCTTATTGTACATTCTTTCTTAGCAACAAAAGATCTCATCACTATCAACACCTAGGCCAAAATCATAATGTCCAAAATCTATGCGCAAGAATTGACCTTCCTTGATGGTCATGTTAAGGAGTGTGAGCAGCTACATCGATTTCAATCCCCGAATGATGTAGATGTAGACTCATCCTTTAAATCCTCTGTTTTCTAGCGTGGGAAGGAAATGGTATCAAAGAGTCTGTTGAACAATTTTACGCGAACATAGATGATAAAAAGATCCAAGATGTAATCAGCCAGATCCACGACTATTCAAATGCTACCTTCACTTATTTATCACACACTTTCCAGGGAACCGGTAAGTGGACTTCCTCACACACGCAGTGTAAAGTTGTTGCACCATCTGACACCGTCTTTTACATCTAATCACCTTCCACAAGCTATTGGCGAAGGTATAGAAGGCGACATGGTTACGCTGGGAAACACCTACAAGACGGAAATCCACGCAGGTATGCTTCCTAGCTGAATATGCGCCTTTCAATCTATGCGATGGAGAAATTACTCGGTAGTGATTTTGACTTCTGCCTTTCTCATTCCAACACCTGAAAACACAATGTGCAATTTTTTAGTTAAATGCTCGGAGATCTCGAGTAGCAAAGAGGTAGATGTTGAAGTGCGAGGCAAAGTTTCTAAAAATGGTGAAGAAGCAACTGAACTCAAGGCGTTTCTCACTTTTGTGAAAACCGACCAAGGCAACAAACTCGTCAAATACAACAGAGAGGTCTGATCTGCCCCGATGACAGTGTTATATACTGCGGTTATTTTTCTATATTTCCACTTCTTCTTGTTGTGTGCTCTTATGCTTTCTTATTATCTTTTCTCTAACTTTGAAAAATCTCTCTTGAGGGCGCTGGTAAAGAGAGAACCTGTCTCGGCTACAAATCTGGTAATTATGTTTGCACAAAGGTATTGGGTGATGTGCCCTTTTACCACCGTCATATTTTTGTCGTTTCTGGTGTAGCATTTGTTTTGACAAGTTTTGTGCCCTCCATGAAGACAATTGGAATAGAGTTTCACAAACATTTGCTCAATGCTGTTGGGGTGGGAATACAAGCTAGTTATACCATCTCTTGTCAGAAGTGTCTTCTAATGAAGAACAACACCCATAGGATCCAGGAATCTTTAACAAAATTACAGCTCTACTACTCTACTTTCTCAAATTACTTCCGCTAAAAACTTTTTTGTGCGTCAAGTTCAGCTTGGGTATTTGAATGATTCTTGGTTCACTTATCAGAGTTCCTTTTAGCGTCTCCATAGAACTTATCAAAAATCATGTTTTTTTACGTCAATTGCACACATCACACAGCAAGGAAAAAACTAGTTACATGAAGAATTAATTATGCGACTCGTAATATGATAGGAGAATAGGCAGAACACTACTTTCAACATCTTTTCTTTTGTCTTTTTTTTGTTTGGAAATATTTTCTTTAACGACGCCGACGTTCACGTTCTTGTCTTTGGGCATCGACTATAGAAATCAGATCTGAACGATGACTGCAGCATGATTGGGCGGAAAGTATCATTTGAATATTCTGAATCTTGACAGACTCACCGTTCATCACTTTACCCTTGGTCGCGCGTTTCTTTCCTGATTGGGGTCTGTTAGGTAAATCAGGTTGATTTGAAGACCAATTGATCTTAGGTCTTGTATGGGAAAAAACACTGAGACGTCGGGCTAGGGACCGTAGGGGAGTCGCTTCAGATTTGGGTACAGGTTGGTTCACAGTCGTCGGCTTGATCGATGCCATAGATAGGTCGCGTCGTAATTTTTCTCTCTTCTGAGCATCCTCGAGACTGATGAGGGGTGCACGTTTATCAATAAAAGACGGCTCGCCAGGAGATATCTTATTGTCCAAAGCATCGCCAGCCAGCGACGAACCTTGGAAAATTCCATGTTGCTTCATCTTGTTTGGGGGAGCAGCGCGGTCAGTACACATTTCTCGGCATTGATAGATTGGGATTGGATTTGAGGGTTCAGCGAGGGGTTGAGTTGGTTTGATGTGCCACAATCCTGAAGACGCCATCTGGTGTGGTGACGGCAAACCACCGCTTAAAGAGATACTACGGGAGGTCCGGGTAGTTACTTTTTCAGGGGCCTTCTTCCCGAGGGCAGATTTACCTATGTTGGAAAGATGAACGCGGCGTGCTGAAGCAGAAGAAAAATTTTGAACAGCGGCCCTCGTGATTGTGAATCCTGCTTCTAGCGAATCAAAGGAGGTGTCCATGGAGTTCTCCGACGAGCTTTCTGTTCCAGATGACGTGCGGTGCATGGATAAGTTACTTTCGCTGCTCGCGGAGCTCGAAGCGTTTTTTGTGTTGGTAAAGCTGGAGCCGTGCATGTTGTAGGATAAAGGTATTAAGTTGCGTGTGTGTTCTATCAAGTGTCTTCAATAAATGTTGGATAGCGTTTTCGTGAGAGCTGAGTGTGGTTGACGTGTTGGTCTGGTCTGATGGGAAAATGTGGACAACGCTGTTTGTTTTATACCCCCACAATAGCTGATCCAAAATCAGTCCATCGCTTTTGCTCTCGTCCAGCAAGCGCAACCCCCAAAAGCAAGCAGGATGTCATTTTTAAAAATGCAATGATAAAGACCCAAAAGCCAAGGATTGATTCATGGCATTTCAATGGCATTGTCTTCCGTTCACAAAACTCGAGATCAATTTGGCTTCCATGTTCTGAGCGCTGTGCAAGTTGTGCTTTGCGCTGCCGCCAATCTACACTACCAGCATAAAGTAATTTTCCCAAGGAAAAATCGAATACATTTAGAGCAAAAAATGATTGAAAATGCATTTGATCAGCATTAAATCAGCATTAAATCAGCATTATTCAGCATTAAATGAGCATTTTTGATTAAAAATGCATTAAATGTAATCATTGTTTCCTTGGGAAAATTACCTTTTGCTGGGAGTGCTATCAATTCTGGCGTCCCTTGCAAATATCTAATAACACCCTGGAATAATTGCATTGACACTTCGGGAGCTGTTTCTGTGACTTTTTAATGTGATGTCATAATAGCACCCAGCCAAAAGTCCACTGAGATGGCACGGGCTTACAGCTCCCAGAATCAATGGGGACGTAGCATCAACTGCATGATTCATTCGTACGAGAAAATGTGGAAGACACCCCAGCAGCAAGCATATATTAAGAAATTCCTTGAAAAGAACCCTCCCCAACTTGAAATGGTATGATACATATCCTAATGCAGTATGGTATAGACCCAAGAATGTTGACTCGCCGAGTCAACATTCGACTGCGATCAAAGTCCCATGCATTTGAATGTCCCAAAACCTAAACACAGGTAACTTAGCTCGTAAAAGCCCTTTTCCGTTAGATATCGCAGATAGACAACATCAGCTTTTAGCATTGCAAAACCCCAAAACAATGTCACGTCGTTGTGTATCTAGCAGGAAGGTTCCCTTCCTGGACAGCCTTGCGCTGATCCAGCTTTGTATCATTTTACAACCCAGTCATGACCCCTGCGCCCCGAATGCTCATCCAGAGATATAGGAAATGTCACTGGATGTATATTAAGGTGCAATGCAAAAAATCCAACTGATCTGAAAGCTACTTGGTTCGTCAAAGTCAAATCTATCATTCAAATTTCAAAGCAAATGCAACCAAGACAAAAGATCGAGTAACTCTGATTTGATCATTTGTTTTTGTTGATACCTACTTCATCTTACCAAATCACCTTACCTCACCACCACCCCTTGTTACCAGAAAACCCACCACATTACTGCAATGCAAATATAACTATTGCATTTGGTCTCTAGACACAATTGAAACATTCACCTCCCATCAATGTGATAGCATAGCACTATCCCCCAACCCAGAAATCTGTATTGTTATTACAGACTATCTTGTATTCTTGTGTATAGTGTTGCTATAACCTGTTCTTATCAATCCTGAGAAAAGACGGATACGTAGGAACAACAAAAAAACCATACCTAGCCAAGCTATACTACGAAAATGTAAGAATTTAATGTTCTAGTGGTTTGTAATGTCTTTCAGGGTTACTCTATGACATTCCAGTGGCAGCACAAACAGAACTTCAAAAGCCCAGTCGTCTCTTTTAAGTCATGTTCAACATAGCATTCGCAGTCTGCACTTACTAGGCAAGTAAAGATAACCCTCACCCTATCTTTCTTTTTGTTCAGCTTGGCTAAAAAGTTTACAAGAGGTTTCATAGACAATTGCGCCCAGCCTGTTTGCACCAGTAAAAAGTACACGTCCACTCACTGTTCTAAAGCAAGCATCAATTTATCAGTTTACCGCATACTTTTTGGAACACGAAGAAGTGGTACACAGTCACTGGTAAATTTTCTGAATATGACCAGTGCAATCCGATCATGACAGGAGTTATAAAGCAAAGGTGCATAGCTGCAGGCAATCTCAACATTTGCAATATACTCCTAATGCCAGAATGTATAGGCTTCTTATTGGCTGCTTCAACGAGTTACTCTATGTATTCCAAATCAAGATGAGATAGAGGGAAAATCAAATAAGTTGAGAGTCTACATGGCAAACAATTTGACGTTTCAGGAATGTTATGATGAATACAGAGCCGAGATAGTATATCAAGTTCCTAGGATGACGCGGGGAAAGTCATAGTCTTGGGTAGCTTAGTGGGAGTGGGCAATAGACCAGCCAAGCTTTTACGAGCATTTTGCTGTAGGACGGCACTGTGGAGCGACCCAGAGAAAAGATGAGTCAGAAGGAAGCTTGAGCCAAGATGATTTCTGGAATCGGTTGAGAACGTTGTACTTACTCCATCATGACGATTGCTGCCATTGCTTCGACGATCGCTACCGCTCGTGGGACCACACATGGGTCATGTCGTCCTTTGGCAGCCAATACACCAGCTTCGCCTGCATAAGTAGCAGTAGACTGGGCTTGTGCTATCGTGGCCGGCGACTTGAATGCGCAGCTGATGCATACATGGGAAGAGGCAGACATAAATCATTAAGACGCCCCAGAAAGAGATTTACCAAGATCAGATAAAAAGCAAGATGGTAGACGTCACCATGACTCACCGGAAATAAACGTTTTCTCCATTGCTGATTCCACCTTGGATTCCACCACTACGGTTGGTCACTGTGCGCAAGCCAGAGCCACTTGGAGCTTTTTGAAACATATCGTTATGAACACTACCCGACATTTCTACACCTTTGAAGCCACTGCCTATCTCGAAACCTTTGGTAGCGGGTATAGACATGATTGCATGAGCAAGTTTAGCTTCTAATTTATCGAAGCACGGCTCTCCCAGACCAGTAGGGCAATTTCTAATCACACAGGTCACTGTGCCTCCAATACTATCACTTGCGGCCTTGGCTTGCAATATACGCTGCAGAATATCAAGTTACATCAATAAAGATTCCCTGAACGCTGATAGATCAAATAATGCATCACCTCTTCCATAAGGGCAGATGAGGGTAGATGTGGACATCGGACCAAACTCTTGTCCACATCTGCTCGAGTGACGGTAGACAGATATTCTGTGAATTCGTGTCCGCACCAGTCCTCATCGGCGGCGATAGGAGTACCATTAGAGCTCTGAGATTTGAGACTCTCCGTTGTGAAGTGTACTTGACCGACCGAGGAGACAAATGCAACAATCTCAATACCGTATGCCAACTTGAGGAATTTCTCTGCGATCGCACCCGCAGCTACTCTAGCTGAAATCATTTATGAAAGCAAAGCAGGTTCTCAATCGTGAGTGATTTGTGAATACTTGTCTGAAGGACTGCTCAAGCTTCTTAACGAACCAATCGTTTCTCGCGCACTGCTTCGTCCTCCTCCACTACTTGCCTTGATACCGTACTTGAGAAGATAGGTCCAATCAGCATGACTGGGTCGAGGGTAAAGATCTGTTTCAGAGTAATCGTGAGGGCGTTGGTCTTTGTTAGGTACGAAAAGTGAGATAGGTGTTCCTAGCGTCACGCCATGCTCGACCCCGGATTGAATTTTGACCAAGTCACTCTCGTTTCTCTACAGGCGGGCATCATTGTGAACATGATATTCGAACGAACCGAGTTTTGTAAGTGATTCTGCTTCCACGAGATTTAGGTCTTGAGAAAGATTTGGGTGAATAGAAAGTAGCTTAGGTATGTGAGAGATGTACGGGAGTGGTAAGGTTGTTTTGACCAGGTCGACGACGAGAGAGCTGAACTTGAATATCCTCTTCGTTGAGTTCCAAGCCGGGTGGTACGCCATCGACAATAGCAGTGATGCCAGAACAGTGGCTTTCACCAGCTGTAGAAACACGGAATAGAGTACCAAAGGTGCTCATGGTCTTCTGAAGATTGATGGGTTGGTAAGAGGAGAATGCTGAGTAGCTCTGAGGTGTATCTGGTATATGATATGGCGATCGGGGAAAAATGCTGGGAATAATTCCAAATCAAACGTCAAGGTACAAATTTACGAATCGAGATGTTCAACGACAAAAAGTGAATTTGTTTGGTACAGAAGCAAAAATTTGGTCCTGTTTACATGTTACACATCAGTACACACTACATATCATTATTCTTACTTCACCGAACTCAAGGTGGTCTTTTTGCTCATGCTTTCGAGGGTTTTTCCTCGCTCTCTCTTTTGGCTGAAGATGCTCAGCTTACTTTACGAAGGACGTTGCCGCTCGTGTTGTGCGGTGAACCTGTCTTTCAAAAAAAGTAGAGGCATCAGTTATTCCAAAAACATTGAGATCAAAAACGGGACTGCATTACGTCACACAACCGCTCTTGCTCATCACAGCGCAAGAACCGTTACGTATATTTTAGAGTCTTGTATTGTACGCTGCAGTAAAATACTGACTTCCTGAGAAAAAGAATCATCTTTGCATCCCTACTTCCAATTCTATAGAAAGCAGCGGTTCTTCAACCGACCTGATGCTATAACTGCAGGCTATGATGTCTCTAATACTATGCGGACTTTGGAGTGTAAGGAATTTGACAAGTGCGTCAGTACTAGTAAGGACTCAGGTACCTATGTTATTTACATTGATTATAAATCAGATGTCCGGTGATTCCCTATGACTTCCCTACCACGACAAGAGATTGCTGTTTGTTGGTCAGAAAGGATGAGGTATGCGTTTGGATATGTATGATTATTCAATCGAGACTTCATATCCGTGAGGTTCGCTAATGATTTTGACTGGTTACATGAATTTGTTTTGCACACCACCTTCTTGTTCATCTTTGTTAAAGAAAGGTATTGGTTTAATCCCTGACTCAATATTTTACTTACTTCTATATATGCAGGATTCAACAATGCTGGATCTGTTCATAAAGATACTTCGTGAGGCCTCAAGCACACAACATATGCACTGCAAAGGGCAGATACCAATCTATAATGATGCATCATGAAGAAGCAAAGGAGATTACATCTGCAATGTATCAAAAGACAGTCACTTACCAGTTCTTTTTCCAAACCTCGTTTGACTAAACTGATAAGTTCCCGCCATGACCGAGGAATAGTGCTTACAAAAAGCCCGGTTCCTTGTCCAGCCAACCCCGCTATATGCACTTCAGTAGATAGCTCTTCGACTCTTCAGAAACATACAAAGCATGTAAACTTTAAACAAAAGGTAGGCTAATGAGACCGTGCCTTGAAGTTCATCAGATGAACGCTGGGGTTGTGTCCAACGGAGTCCAAAAGGTCGCTTAGCTCAACCTCTGCCTAAAGTCTGTCAAGTGCTGCAGTGGACTTGTGGAATGATGACCTCAAACCATTTCCTGAGTGGTCCAACGTGTGAGAGACATCGACGCTCAGAGCAGTGGGGGTCTGCTATCATCTATGTAGTAGATGTCATGTATAGTGATACGAAGACACCATCTGAAGTCCTCCACATCGGCATCCAGGCTATCTTGACATCTGCACTTGAATAGATTTCCAAAACATCTCCAGACTCCAGTGACTCACTGATCACCACCGAACCCATCAATCAAAGTAAAAACGAAGGAGAATCAATCAGGAAAATTGGAAGTGGAGAGAGCACTTCTTGTGAGCAGCTTTGGCTATTCGAATCAACACAGTGGCAACATTGGTGATGTGACACGGTCATGAGGTAAAGAAGTATTTCCGCTCATGATCCCGTGCTCCCTTGTCATGATTTGATTTTCAAAAACTGGTGGGGGTTGATTCTTGAACCTGTTTGAACCCATATTTTAACTTTCTTTAAATCCGCCCACTGTGAACGAGAAGAAAGCTGAAGAAAGAAAGTGATCTTTTAGGATCTTTTGTGCAACGTGTTAAACGTACCACCGGTGAAACGTACATAAGACGTACATTGACTGTAGCAGCCCAATCCCCACTCATGTGATTGAAACTGCACGGATGGTGGCGCTGTCCAATGGGATGACGATTTTGCCTGTGTGAGTGTATATTCGTAGCACTTCTGGGACCCATAAACCAACACATAAAGGCTCCAAGCTTCACCTCTCACCTTATAAATATCATCAAACGATTTCCTTGGCTACTTTTTTTGTTCAATTATCCTGATAAATTATCCATTCTCTTCACACGAACCAAACCACCATCAAATCATTTCATCATGTCTTCTCGTTTCTGCGTAGCTCTTTTGGCCATCCTCAGTGTTGTTTCGTTGGCTCGCACTCAAGTCGATCAACCTACCTCGCCAACAAAGTGTACAGAATACAACCAGGTTAACACGACTAAAGCTCGTAAGTCATATTGTTTATGCCCCTCATTGGCGAGAACCAAACTGATTTGCGATGCGGTTTCAACTTGGTCATCAGAGTGCAACGAGATCTTCACTTGTCCAGGCAAATGTACTGGCTCTGTCGGTATGTAAAGTTCATTGTGCAGGATTGTTTAGTGAGACCACATAGATTTTAAGCCTGACATTGTCTGTTACATTTTAGTGGCTAAATCGTGCCGTATGATTAGACCCGATACCGACTTCTTGGGGAACCCTAACGCTACTGCTCCACCAAACGAGGTGATCCCTCAAGTGAATTGCACCATCACGTTTGGTCGAAACACTGCGCAAGCAAAATGTAAGCACTTTGACTTTGCTTACCGCTCATCCCGATCTTATTATGACTTTGAACGTCTCGCTGATAAAGTCAAATTTTATTCCTATAACATCTGCAACTTCTTAAGCTTGTGATACCGAGACAGCAAGTTACAGCTGCACTGGTGGCATCGTACCCGATACATACGCACGTGAGTGGTTAATGCTTTACTCACAGATTAAAATAATCATGATCAGAATCCAATCATATCTTACCTCGTACTGATACCTTTTCTCAGTTTGTTACCAATGTGGTACTCTCCAGGGAGACGCGGGTACTCCGGGTGGAAGCCCCAACAAAACCACGACTCCCCCTAGCACCGCACAAAATGGAAGCATGACCCCAGATACTACGAGCACGCCCCCTACTACCTCCAATACGACTTCAGCTGGAAACACTCAACGAATTGATATGCAACAAGGTCTTGTTTTAGCGTCTTTGTCCCTTTTCATGTTATCTGTCTAGTCTAAATCACTAGTCCATCTATATATCAGAACCAAGTCACCAATAACCCAACGGTTTTAGCAATTGTAAATTGGCTTTACACCTAGATGTCTTGCTTGAAAGTGTCCAAACTCTTCTCACACTGCTCATATTTGATGAAAGCCGCTTATGATTAGTAGTTTAGTTGAAAGATATGGAAATATATATGACATGAGTGATATCTGCCAATTGAATACCTCGGAAAATCCGGGTCTGTGTCTGTAAGATCCTAATCAGTCAAACCCAGGCACATAAGGTTTGAATAACTAGTCTCCTACCTTTTTTCAAGCTGTTTAGAAAGTGAATCGTGAAATCTTTAAAGAAAAGGTTTCCAAAGAAGCTTCTTTACCTAGCAAGAATAGGTACAGAATGAGAAGCAAGAGCTGTCAAAGGGATCTGGAAGGTAAAGTGGCAGTACTTTGGATTGTTACAAAAATGATGTCATAATCATACCAGCAACACCGAACACCATTATGTGTGTTACATACTGTATGAAGTTGAAGAAATTGGCGCGGGGTTTTGAGATGCAGAATGAACTTTATCTGGTGAAAATACAATGTCTATGATCAAGTTTAAACAAACTCCACAAGAGGTATCAGATTTATAAAAGTTCTTTACTTGGACATATCGTAATGATGATGAGTCAAGTTGAAGGTAAACAAGTAGTGTGGATATGAATGAAATGTCGAGATGAACAAGCGGAAATGATGTTGGAGTATGTTTGTAGATGGTAAGAAGTCATGAGTCATTTCGTTTCTTTTCGTCAGATTACATAAACTAGAGGTAAACAGGAATCGAAGATTAAAAGCAATCGCTGATTCGAATTCACTGATGGTAAACTGAGACACGACTAAGAAAGAATTTTTTTGGTAAATGATCATCAAAGTGGCCAATAGATTTCATACTTGATCGATCAGTATCATTCAACACTGCATTTGGATATCATACCGTTTCGATTCTCGAACTGTGGTGGGTTCTTTTCAAGGAGTCTCTTACAATATGTTTGTTTGTGTGGCATCTTTCCAAGAACATTATCACGTTTGAATAAAATCGTGTACTTCATGCTGTGCCCATTGATTCAGGGATGTCTGTAAAACAATGACACTCGTACGGTATGCCAAAAATACTACGGTTGCCGTGATGCTTTCATGAAGAGCCGAAACTTCGTTTGGCTCTTCGAACCGATAAGAGGGGGGATTTGCAAAATGTATGCTTCTTCAACTTACGATGAGAATGAAATGACGCTGGCGTTGTGGTCTAATCAGAGATTGATGTCGAGGGTACTTGAAGCTCTTGATCACTCTCACGATGGTGCGACGTGTTACTAGAGGTCCAGCTCAAGGTTAACATGAAGCCGGGCCCGACGTCGTGAGTACACCACTCCAAACTCATCAAAGTCCCTCGCTCACGACTAGTCGAGGGAGGGACGGAATGTGGTCATGGTTTACCTGTGGCAACACATCGGGTTAGACGTATGCTCAAGATTGATGGAATGACGTAATATAGGTACATGTACTGTGTCATTTCGTTTCATTGGCCAAGGTGAACAAAGTGTACTTTAAGACACTGCATGAATCATTTCGTGTCTCAGCAGGAATACATATCCAGAATGTAGTAGGGAAAAAAGTTGGTGGTACCGAAGAGACAAGATGAGAATCAACAGAAAGGGTAATCAATGGATCAGTGTCCGCCGCCGATGCCAACTCCAATGTTGATGCCACCACCACCACCACCGCCAGCACCAACGCCGACACCGAGGCCAATGCCGATGTTGATACCGAGAATTCCGAGATCAATCTTGACACTAGCTTTAATGTCGATCTGTAGTGTTGCGGCGAGTGTCACGAAACCTTGTGTGCATGTCCCGAATTGCTTCCAGAAGGCTGGTGGAATTCAAGAATCTCAGCGCTATGTGAGACAGGAGACACAAGAACACTACTTACGGTCGAAGTCGTAATCGGGGAACTGCCCAGGAAGGTAGTCAATGATAAGCTGGACTTGTGCAAAGATTGCGGTGACCTTTGACTGGTACGTCGTCTGTTGAAAGTTGGAACATAAGCAACATGTCGCAATATGGCAAGAATTAAGTGACCAGGTTGATCAAAGATGCAATATACACGTACAGTTTGAATGCCCTGGCATCCGCAACTATCCACTGGCACCGCGTCCGTGGTAATTTTAGTAATTGTGGTGGTCAAGACCTCGACAACTTTGTCTACGACGGTTATCGATTGCACTTGACCGTAACAGTCAGTGAAATAGGTGGTCACTGAGTCGGCGTATGTGATAACCTCGGTCTCGGTCACCTGCTGCACGACAGTGTCTCTGACTGAAAGCTGAGGGACAGGCGAGACATCCCGAGATGCAAGTGGTTTGAGAGGAGAGGCATTACTATGGATTGGAGAAAAACAAAAGATCAGCGCCTGCACGGAGATCAGGATCGCAAGCAGATACGGAGCAGTGGAGAGACACTGACCGCAAAACACCGCCGCTGACAGTAGCTAAAAGGACAACAGACACAAAGCAATATAATGAGTATTCGACGTGGCAGCACGACAGAAGTCGAGATGTCAAGGATGAAATGTAGTGAAATACGTACCAGCTAGGGCGAAAACAGTGGAAACCAATGATAGATGCATATTGGGCGTATTGGATTAAGCTATAAGCTGCACTGAAAAGGTGATGGAATTGAAGATAGGATATCACGGTCGAGCGTCGAGAGTAGAGGAGGGATGGGGGATGGCTATTGGCTCAGAGGGAGGCCATGTTTTATACCTCCTTGTAGGCACCATAAAGGGCGACTGGCGAGAGAGTCGAGTCATCAAGTTCAGTGCTTGAGATTCTATCCGGCGAGGCTGCTTGACATTATTCTTTTACTCGACGTCGATGTTTCCAAATTTGATGCTTTCACACAACACATTTTAAACATTTTCTCAGGAAGAATTTGAAATTGTTCATTCTTTTCTCGAGGTCGTCAAGCAAAGGGTTGTATCAAACCTGGAATGAATTGAAACTCTACCAAGTCCCAGGCTCTTGTTTGAGAGACGCTGTGTTGTCTATTTGAAATTGTATGGACATATCACCAACTCTGTCACGGTACTCAATCTCCACCTCTCACCTGTTCAGCGTGCGAGAAGCAGTCCGGAACTTGAATTATGATCACTGAATCCGTGAGCCCTCGTGAGCCCCATTGTGCGGTGAGTTGTGGGAGGACCCTGGAAAGTAAGCTCATCAGAGTCTCACGCTGTCGTTCGCGACCCGAGCCCCATGATTAGATAAGTATTTATAGCAGGGCTGTGAAACAGGTGGCGGTGCAAACATCGTGCGGTGGCCGAGGCGGAGGAACGCCGAATGCGCCGTAAACTTAAATAGATGTTGGGAACCTGTTATTAACCGATGGGAATGTGTAATTCGGACTGCAGACATTACCTGAAATATTTAGTACTGTTGTTCTCGAAAAGCTTGTCCAAGGTTTCCCGCCAAATTGCTCAAGTTTTGCGGGAAAACTCGGACAAGCTTTTCGAGAACGACAGTAACGGGTCGGAACTTTTTGTTGCCCTTCTATCCAGCTATGATGTCATAGCCTGTTTACCTGCATCCAGATTTAATCATTTCATGGGTTGCCCTGGAAAGGTTTGAATGCCCCAACTCCCATCACAACCTAAAGAGTCACACTGACAGGCCACACGCAGCTCTAGTCATCACTTGAGGCCTTAACTTTACTCCACAATGAGTCCACATCTCTCTTTTGGCATCCACCTCAACCATGACTCCATCCACTAGCCCCAGTTTCCTTCCAAATTCGAATTTTAGTTTTAAAAGTCAAAAGTCTCATCTCTTTTTGTTTGAAATGAAACAATATCTTGTGCTTTTTCTGAAATAAAACGATCCCGTTTGAATTCGACTGAAAACAATATCTTACCTATAGAAGTATCCTCTCAAAGTCTTAGAAGTCAACTTAGCCATGTTCTTTTTGAATTGAAACGATATGTTTTTTCAATTGAAAACGATTTCTTAGTTTCCAAAGTCTCATCCAAAGTTTTGAAAGGCGACTCAGATCAGTTTTTGTTTGAAATAGAACGATCGATTGTGCTTGTTTTAAAATATAACGATTGCTTTTGAATTCTTCACATTGCAAATGACGAAACAAACCGAAGAGAGAGAAACTTTGAAATCGGAATACATCAGGTAGACAAGCAAGGTGTATTTGTTTTATGGAAGGATTTGGGTTATTTTGGGTGTGATGGTAATGAAGGGGAGGGGTTGGTTGAGTCTGTGTATATCAAGCTCATCTTTTTTTTCAACAAACGGGTGGTCAGATCTAGCCGATCTCAACCCATGTCAAAAAACCCATGAAAAAAAACCACAAAGAAGTTGGGTTTTCATGGGTTTTTTTCATGGGTTTTCATGTTGGGTTGTAGGTTTGTACACCGCTATTGTGTTTACTTTTGTCTAGAACTCTTTTCCTGATTCTTTTCTGTTTGATATCTGGTTGATATCAAGTTTTTTAGCTCCCACCCACCCATAATCTCAGTTATTCCTCAAATTTGCTTTTTGCTTTAGTTTCATTTTGGTTCTTTGGTCATGTTGTTATAATATTATCTTCTCCTTTTTACAGTCAAACTGGAAAAGCTTGACCGATTTTGCCCGCAAAACTCGAGCAATTTGGCGGGGAATTTGTGACAAGCTTTTCCGGTTTGACTGTAAATTTTTTATATATTTTCATCAGGGGCTACTAAAAAGTGCCCGCAAATAAAACCTGAGACCGCCCGCTTTTAGAATCCGGTGTTTACTAAAAATGTTTGACTGAACTGTGGTTCAGTCCCGAGGTAATAATTTGTAAGAAATCAAACGGAAAGCGGGCGGTCTTGAAAATTATTGAAAACCCTTCAAGACCTCCTGCTCCTGCTCCCGCTACCCACATCTCACAACCAGGATAGCAAGTTGTTGCGTTTCTTCTTGTTTTCTAACCAAGCTCTATACCATAATTATAAACCTCTGGCTGATGGGCTGGTGTTAAGATAAGCGATCTTGAGTACACCAGTACACTCACAAACGGCTTTTACTTGGCTAGATTCAAACTTGATGAGGCTAGAACTGCCCCTCTGTCTGCCAGTCTCTTTTACCCAAGTTGGCAATGTGATTGGTCTTTGAAGACCTCAATCTGTCTGTTGCTAATCCAAGAGTTGGATAAAGTCACAAAAATAGTTGGTCAATCTATGATTGATTAGCACTTGTTTCTTTTTCTTCTCTCGCTTCGAACACGCAAACTTCTTGGCATTCATTGCATACATGTCTTGCTTGTTGAAGCAAAGAAATTCGGGAATGCAATAAGATGTGTCTTGCATTGGTTTGAAAGGTTTTTTACCACTCGTTATTCAACTTACAGGCTATGCAAATTTGCAATAAACCCCTGAAATCCACAAAACTGTTTTGAATCCAAGTGATGTTGATTCTAGCCTCAAACTTTGAGACTTCGGCCGGACCAAGTGAAGCCATCAAACTCTGGGGAACCCTTCAAATAGAGCCTTGAATCCTGTCAGGCTTCTAGCCTCATTGACAGAGGATATGTAGTCAAGCCTGAGGGGGTGCTGAGAGGGTCCGATTGTGTTCAGTGCTTTGAATGTCTTTCAAGTTTAGCTGCACAATCCAGTTGAGATAAACGATTGATATGAAGGATGAGATGTGGGTATGTAGCGGGAGGTTTTGTAGGGTTTTTATAATTTTCAAGACCGCCCGCTTTCCGTATGATTTCTTACAAATTATTACCTCGGGACTGAACCACAATTCAGTCAAACATTTTTAGTAACCATCGGATTCTGAAAGCGGGCGGTCTCAGGTTTTATATGCGGGCACTTTTTAGTAGCCCCCATTTTCATCAAGTAGTGTGTTACAGCGCTTCAAGAATCCTTTGGTTTTTTTAACGCAAGAAAACGAAATAAATGTCCAAAACCCTTGCTAAAACCCTTGCTAAAACTGATTTTGTACTAGAATCTGTCAAATTTGAGCTGTCCAAATGAGTTTTTTCCAAGTTTTGTCCAAAACTTTAAGAAAAAGACCACCAAATAAACCAAAGGATTCTTGAAGCGCTGTATATTTTGTTATATCTAGGTCCGCTAGCCACCCTGTAGGGTGTTTTTGTCTTTCAAGTAATTTCTAACCCCGGGCTGATCTAGCCAAGGGATTTGCCCACAACCACACCTGTCTTTTAGTTGTTCAAATACTGAGTATTGTGACTTTTTATGAATACCATTTCGTGCAAAAATTATGTACACTTGAAACTCACCCTGAAAGCCCCACCAAGGGTATCCTGAACCCAGTCTGTGGCGCCAGACCAAAGCCTTTGACTTGAATCCTCTTGCATAAATCCTTGCACTTTTTTCATCCATCTTTCTTTTCACATCTGTTTGAAGATCAATTGTGTTGTACCAGTCCTTGCCAACTTCCTTTCCAGATCACAGTGAAGGAGCTATTATAGTGACCCATGTACAGCTTTTTCAACAAAGATTGATTTTTTAAAATCTTGTCAACATGCAAAACCTGGGTTTTGTCCCTCACTTGGTTTTGTCCTGTTTTGTCACTCTGCTAAATGGGAGGATACAGAAAAGAATAAACCTGTCATCAAGTTTTTTCTCCAATTTTACCTGCCGTGGAGACAACTTTCTCAAGAAAAAGTTGTCAATCTTTCTTGAAATGGCTGGAAAAGAAGTGTAATTAGTCCACTCATGACCTACTCAAATTGTCTTTTATCAGAGTATGATTTTCACAAGCCTCATGACACTGTGAAAATAATGTGTTTCTCCCTAGCGAAAAATGATTGACAAAAAATTGTACCTGGAATTGTGGGCCCAGTTGTGGCCCAAAACGCTTGGAAAAAGATCTGGAGAGAGATACAACGCTCTTTGTCCTGCAACGTTTTTTTGGGGTTGCTTAAAGCCTCATACTCAGCATGAACCCAGCAAGCAATTTTTAATGTTTTTACCAGCTTTTTCCCTCTCAAAGAAGTCCAAAAAATCCGGAAAAATCAGGAGAGATCAGAAATCCCCTTTGTGCTGTGTGGTGATTTTTTCGGATTTTTTGATGCCTTTGTCTTGGATACATGCAGGTTAGAACATTGAAAGTCTGCCAAATAAACTTCAAATGCATTTTGGTTCACAGGGGCATCAAAATTCCACACACCGTCTTCAAACCATGTACAGATGATCTTGCATCCTTTGTTGTGCTGCAAATTTTTTTTGGGGTGGTTTTGGAGCCTTGTACATATGGCAGTAGCGTTTAAGTACCTAAAATTACACACATGTGATGACTTGCATACTGAGCCAGAAAAATTCTGAAAAAAACGTTCAACAAAGGGGATATTGTCCTCCACTTGTAATTTTTTTTCCAGATTTTTCTTGTCAATATTGAAGGGTGAATTTAGTGCTTTGGTGTTGCATATTTATGTGTTGTTCCACAAAAATTTTGAACATCACCAAACTGAGTGCTACAATTTTTTTACAATGACCAAAATCTCTCAACTGGAAGAAAATAGCACATTTTGCCTTACCAGATTTTTTCAGATTTTTTGGGCCAATATCAAGCAAGGCATTTTAAATGCTAGAATCAATCATTTTTCGCCATGGAAAAACACATTATTTTT